CCCCTCTCCTCTCTCTCTCTCTCTCTCTCTCTCTCTCTCTCTCTCTCTCTCTCTCTAATCTGCGTGCATTGTTTTTATTAGGAGTTGCATGGTCGAAGCATTCGTGTGAGCTTTGCAAATGATAGACCTTCTGGCGGATTTCGCGGGGGTTATGGTGGCGGTGCCGGGGGATTTGGCGGCTCAGGTGGGTATTAATGAGAAAATGGTTCTGGGATTAGCAAGCACGCTGAGATGGATGGCGATTTAAGTTCAGGCAACAAAGTCTTGTTCCAGCTTCAATCAACTTTGTTCATATTTCAGCTTTTTGTTCTGGATTTTAAGTGAGCATACAAATGTGATGTTAGCTTTCTTTTCAATTTGTTCTGTGTCAGTCTTTTTTGTTGATTGTGTTCATGATTTCAAGTGTGATTTTAAAACTTATTTTCATTATTTCTGGATGTTCTCTTGTACTGCATACTTTGAAGGAATGATAAAATTGGAAAATTTGAAGTGATTCTGCCTTCTTTCCGGTCAACATTGGCTGTGTTTGGTGAGGGAAAGTGAAAGGGAAGCGTTTGGTTGGGAAGGAAAACTTGGCTAGTGGCAACTTTTTGCTGATTATGATTTCTCCGCAATGTTTATATGATTTTTAGATTTCTTATAATGCAATTTTTGACAATACTCAACTATAAGACTAATACAAAATTGCGCTCAGCTCAAGAACAATTGTGGTATAACTTTTTTGACATATGGCCAAAGCAATTCATATTTATTTATCTTACAAATTTTTGTAATATATATTGGAAAATTTTCTCGATTTTATAAGATGTGAAGCTCATGCTCATTCAATAATCATCTTTTGGGTTTTTTTTATTTTTATATCATAAAAAAGTTGTTTATGAATACATTTATTTAGTGTAATTCAAAATACAAAATAATATTAAGTGAGAATTAGATAGAAAAATGATGGGGTATTAACATACATACCACAATTCCTATCGATTTACATATTTAACACCTAAAGGTTGATGTTTATGTTTATAATATTCATATTTTTCATATCTCAGCATAGAAATTACCATTGCCAACGTTTAAAAGGTAAAATACAATTTTCATTGCATAGGTAAGAAGAGTGGTAACAAGTATAAAAATTAAAGTTTTGATTATCTTCATCGAAGAGGTTTGGTCAGGTAGATTTGTGAGCCTCACCAAAAATTATTGTTTAAAATAAAGCCCATAATTTCATAAAGACAGTTCTCATCAATAATTATGTGAGACCGCTTGCGTTGCTAATTTGGAAAAAAAAAAATTTCACTTAAAACAGTATGAAATTCAACTTAATACAATCAATTCTTAGCCGCTCATATCTCTTTAAATCAGCTATGAGTTCTCAGTGGAGTAAAGCAAATCAAATACAGAGTGCTGTAAATTCTCATATAAAACTTGTATGCATTTCTCTTGCCACAATTGTACCCCTTACAAACCAAATAGTACTTTAAGTTACCAAAATTTTGAAGATTCAAGAAACAGAGAAAATCACAGCAGCAGCAGCAGCAGCAGCAGCAGTAACCTTTGATATGGTTTCCAGGAACAAAGCCTTGGCTGTAATATCTGTGGAGAATTGACCCATCACAGCAACTGTCGCTGTGCTGCTTCCCACCTTCTCTATACCTCTTGATATCATGCACACATGATTTGCTTCCACAACCACCATTACTCCCCTTCCAAGCACCGAATACACAGCTTCTGCTATCTGCCTCGTAAGCCTTTCCTGCACCTGAAGCTTACAGCCATACAAATGGACCATTGCTTGCAAAGAAGATCTATCAATGGCTCTCCTTTCTCCATCCTGGAAGTAGCCAATGTGCACCACACCATGGAATGGGAGGAGATGGTGCTCGCATTGGGCGCAGAAGGGTAAATTCAGCTCCGAGCGCATCTCACTTTCCCCGTAAATATAACCATTTGAACTTCCATGAGAATCCATGGCATCCACAACAGAGCCATTTTGCGGCCTCGTATCTGTATTGGATCTGCTGAAGTTCATAAGCCAATGCACATAACGATATGGAGTCCCGACAAGCTCTTTTCTTGAAGGGTCTTCACCAAGTGATACAATCATTGAAGCCACTGCTGCTACCATGGCAGCATGAGAAACTACTGGCCTGTAACAAATCCTACCGTTCGATATGTGACCTTTGGATTCGGGCACATGAATGGATCTCGATGGGCACCATGAATGGATCAAAGAACTTACATTGTCCAGACCAAAGCTCACACTACTGAATTTTAGTAGAGTTTGAAACTCATCCCTGAAAGAACTCTTCTTTTGGTCAAAAACTCCAGTGTTTGAACAGACTGAAGTATGCATCCAACCTTGAGTGCTGGATCTAGAAGGATGCATTGGATCCAAATTGCATTTCAAAGCCTCAGGGAACTGGATGTGCCAACATTGAAGGGCCACGGAAACCCCGGCTGGCTGGATGCTATTCTGCAGAGCCTGGCAGATTTCATCGGCCAGTCTTTGCGGTTCTTGAAGCCTTTTAGCGTAGACATCAGCTACTCTGGAAAGCTTGCTGAGTCCTACAACTCTTTGTCCTGAAGGAACGTAACCTACATGGCATTTAATGCTGAAAGGAAGCAGACAGGACTCACAATAAGAGAATAGATTGATGTCTCGGACGACCACCAGACCACCTGTACCTCCAGCTTGCCCTGCTCCATGGTCCAAGCCGGCTTCAGGAAATAGGGCTCCATGCACAATGTCGTCCACTTTCTGCTTGTAACCTGCAAGCATGAGCGAAATCTTTACTCCCTTGTACGAACAAAGACAAAACCTAGATTTGGCAGGCATTGAACATGACTATAAATATCTCAAATACTAGCGAAAATTAAACTCTCGGAAACCCACCAAACGAGTTGCAGGAGGTAAGCAACAGGAAGTAATCAAATCCAAGTACAGAAACCAATAGAAATCCGCATCAAAATGCCATCTTTGGATCGAAATATAGCAGATCTAAGACAATAGATACCAAAGCAAGACGAGTGATACCTCTCGTGCCGTCCCTGAAAGCCTTTGCTACGCGCATCGGCGTCTTTTTTAGCCCCTCCCTCTCAGAATCCTCCCCCAAGCCCATCAAAAGGATCTTCACCGCATTCTCCATCGTTCCCGCCGCCGACCCTCTCCCTCCTCCGCCGGAAGTGATCTCGGACACGTTCGGATTGAGCTGCCCTTCCGCCAGCGCCCCCATCCCTTCCTCCTCCACCAAAACAGAGGGAGGAAAAAGAGAGAGAGTGGGGGGAAAAAGTTGATGGTTGGAAAGCGAGCCGCACAACGACGAGATAGATAATTGGACAGAACAGGTACAGAGATAAATAGAGCGGGGAGGTGTATTCTCCACCGGTAGTTGTCGAAGAAGAAGAAGAGTCTACACGAATGAAATCAACCGACGGATTGGGGAAGAAAGTTTAAAGGGTGCGGGAGTGAAGGTAAATGGAGTATTCTCCACCGGTAGTTGTCGAAGAAGAAGAAGATTCTACACGAATGAAATCAACCGTCGGATTGGGGAAGAGAGTTTAAAGGGTGCGGGAGGGAAGGTAAATGGGGGGGGCCGCTTCCGACCCCAAAAAGGAGAGAACTTTGGCAAGGGGGGGAGGGAAGGATAGCAGATTAGGTTGCTAAGGGAGCCAAGTGGGTTGGTGAGGGCGTGCGCGATGGGGACGTCTGGGGTTGGCCGTGCTTTTGAAACTTTGTTCATTTTTCTTACAAGTCAAATTGATGTTTTTCACTTCAATTGGGATTGAATTTCTATTCTTTATGTTTGGTTGGTTTTATTTCCGGAAGATTTACAAATATAAAAATTATAATTTAGGTGTTATATATGTAAATAGACAAGAATTGAGGGGTATGCATGTAAATTTCTCCTTCTATTTTGACTAAACTATAGAAAACAAAATTTTATAATAGTAAGGAGTGATTAATCACAAGTAATACGATTGGAATATATGACCTCAGGAATACAACTATCTAAAAATAAATCTCATTTTAATTAGTTTAATTAAGAATATTTATTAATAATTTGCTCTTTGATTATTAATTGTCCTGTTGAAAACTTGGTATATATTAATTAATATAAGGAATCATTAATATAATTCTTTTGTGTTATATATCAAACACATAAATTTAGGTATTTATTAATATAGCATTTAAATATTTAATAATACTATTATCTTATAAAATACCATTGAGATGAATTATTTTAAAGTGAAAGATCCAATTTCAAGTTGATATTATCATGTAATTATGACAATAAAGTGTTATATAAGTTGTGTGCTAGAAAATTCATAGCTTTAGAGTGTAGATTTTATGTCTTAGAATGGCATGAAGATTCAACACACACAGATAAAATAATATCTAAAAAAAATACATTAAACTATTCATGTGAAAAAACATTATAAATGACAAAAATCATTCGGTTCGGCTCAATCTAATTAATATGTTATATATTTAAAGTTACGAGATTCCACTCTTATCCTTAAGAAAGATGAGGTTATATGCAGTATGAACATTTTATGTCCTTATGTTGTTATAGTAGAGGTTAATAACCACCAATGTTGATTATGTTATAATGATTAGAAACAACGGCTTGGAGGTAATAATTATGTTATGATAACCCCAAGGTAATAATTTGGCTACAATAATCTCCAGCGATGATCAATAATTTTTCGTGGTTGTTGGTTCAAATTTTATATTGGCATCACTTTTTTTATGTCGCATGCATGAGATGTCCACTTGAATGCTATGAGACTATGTTTCGCTCACTCATAGTCTCTTGTAAGCCAAGACATCCATCAAGACAACTGGTACGTGTCTCGAGCACGGAACTAGGATTGGTACCAATCTAGCCCTACCCGAGAGAGCTCACCGTTGGGTGATGACACGAGACATATTTAATGTTCATTTTAGTGTTTAGAGACCATGCTCCTTCTATTTAGTTCATTTTAGTGTTTAGAGACCATGCTCCTTCTATTCGAAGCCTTCCGTGGTCAAGGGCGGTCATAGAACCCTCCTACGTACATTTTAGAGAAAAACACGGTTTAGATTGGTGTACCTGCTGAAACTAAAATTTCTTAAAAGAAAACTCTAATATATTAAATTTTAAGTTATGGGGTCATATTTCAGAGATATTTGATTTTTTCATAGCTTAAGGACCAATACAATCTTTAAACAGTAACCCGACGGGCAAACATAGGGTTTGAGCTAAAATGACCATACCAAAGCAAAATTTTCATCGTACAATGTTATTCGATCAATTTGGCACATCCTAGAGATTCACCTTTAGTGAATGCATAGGAATCATATTCAGTGAATGGAGAGTAGTCCAAAAATGCGTAAAAACCTAACCCCAAACAAATGTACTCAAAGACATTCAAAAGGAAGGCCAAGATAGGTTTGGGCGCCTATGCGCCCAAACATGGGTGCCTATGCGCCAACTCCATCCTCCTAGCATCAAGGACGGAGCCTATATGCCCAAACACCAAGTATGTGTAGTTTTGCTTATTGGCTGAGAGATTGACGCTTATGCGCGGTATATGGGATCTTACACGCCGGAGAATGTGTCGGTCGATTTAATTTTTGAAAACAATTTTTGATTAAATATACATATAATTTTGATTTGAAAAAAATAGTATTTTAATTTTTAAAAATATGAGACTAACAAGATCTCATGCATTTGATAATTTAAATAATTGAGCACAACACTACAAGCAATACACCGTCCCGAGAGATAGACATATCATTTTGATAGTGGTCTCGATCATATAAACTAAGGAAACTTATGACATCCGTTTGGTGTGTGAACTATGCGTATGACCGACATGTTCCTCTATCTAATATAAAGATTATATAGGGTTTATATTACCTGGGTATTAAAGTTCTCTATAATGGGAAGCCCCTATAGTTAATTACATCCTAAATGACCGAAGTCACTTAAGAAAACTCTCGATAAAGATCAGGGATTTCGTCTTTAAGATATTCCAAAATTTGGGTTTTCAAGGTAGTTTGTATGGAATAACAAGTGGGAAAGAATCAAGTACGAACAGTTATTTTAGAATCAAATGATTGAATACTAAGGGATGTCACACAGCAGAGGCGAACCTTAGCGAGTTCCCAAGTTATCATACTATTGGACTCTATATTTTCGAAGCAAAATTATTTGTTCAATCCTGCCAATTATTAAAATTTTGGCATATGATTGTTTTTTTACTACAATAAAATTTTAGAATGAGTCACATGCAGTCTACTAAGCTATTGATGTTCATCCCTATTTTATTTAATTATTTTGATTTTTGGGAAGAAAAAAAAGAAGGTTAATTTAGACATCGAGGTTGCATTTTCTTTTAAATTTTAATTTTTAGCTTCCTAATTGAGGTTGCAGGTTCCTATTTATAGATATAACTTTTGTTAGAATGTAGTTATATTTGTTTGCAGCCATGGTGATAATATTTTATTGAATGATATAGAAAAATGTACTATGTTTGTTGTATATTGACCTTTCTAATTCTATAACTTGTTATATCTAAATATATATTGGAGTTTCTTCTTTGCAACATTTTGATGGTATTAGTGGATTTATGATTGTTTATATATATAATAATAATAATTTTGAGTATTGACTATTGCAGATCTAATAAGTGACCCACTATGGTGTAAGGAAGAATTATGTCATTTTCGGTTGTTGTAGGACCAACTGAACCAACAATGAATCTATGGGCCAAATTGACTTGACCCAAGATAATTAAACTGATGGACCTTTTACTCAATCGTCATAGATGCTAATAAGAGTCTCTCAGAAGAATTAGGCCTAACCTAGACCCAAAATATCTCAATGCAAACCTTTAGCTCAAATGGCCAATTTAGCTTTGCCTAATTTCAAATGACCTTGCTACAACCACCATTATTAGTTTATAGCCTAGCCTTGGAACCACGGTTTTGACTTGGCCTTAGTCGAACTACTCTTTTTGGGTCACCTAAAAATGGTCTTAATTTATTATGTTAACTAACTCTAAGGTATGCATGATGGATTTATTAACAAATATAGCATAACGATTCCTTCCTCCATAACCTAAGCTAAACCTTACCACTTTGCATCCTAAACCCAATTGATCCTCCATAACACTCACATGGAAATATCCTTTTTAGCATCTAAAACGTGTGAACCCTTTTTGAAGTATATATCATTTTATAGATACAACCCTTTCTAGTGAGGGCATGTACTGTTAGAAGTTTTTGAGGTGGAGAGAAACCTCCCATAATAATTTTTAGCCTTATCTTTCATTATTTCTTAACTATGGAGCTAAGAAAGAAGAGAGAAAATCCTTGTAGTTTTTTGTTGCTTCCACACTACATCTTAACTTTTATTTTCTCATCCTACAAACTCTTTAAGTTTTGACTGTTCTACAAATTTTTACCTCATCTTGTGTCCTACAAACCCATCTTTTGCCTCGCCTACCAGAGCAGAAATAGAGGGAACTAAGTTAGCATACCACCTCCATTAACTTCATTATCACCCATGGAAGCAATTTGAGCCACCCTAAAGACTATTCTAAGCCCCATCGAATTTGTTCTTGCTAAACTTTAAACATTATTATTCCTTAATTATTTAGATAATGCACACCTCCAAGACTTGTACACATGCTTCCACCTTATAAAACTCAATTTTGAGCTTCCTTTAAAGCTTAAGAACATTTGTTTGCTCAAGTTGTTGAAGAAATATTAAATCACTAAAGAATTATATTGGTCTGTTTTTTTTTCTATAAGTAGATATTGGCTTGTATTCGTTCGTATGTGGCTTTTAGAACATTAGAACTTTATTCTAACGTTATAAACATATGAAACTAAATTTATTAAGGTTAATGTAGAGCTTCTATCAAAATCAAAATTTAAAAATAATTAATCACAATTTATAGACCATTGATAATCAATTAGCATTTACTGATTATTTTAACCACTAAGGGCATGCTTAACAAAAATTGTCATGTTACCCTAAATTGATAAACATATTTGCAAACCTAGTGAGTTAACATAGTAAATTTATCGAATGTCTCTCATAATGAAGACTACATAACTATTCAAAATCTACATTGTAGAATCTTATAACATACCCTCACGGCCGATGCACATAAATTTATTTGATAAGATTGTAGGCCCTACTTTTTAATTACAAGTTATACGTATCTTATAGTTGCATGGATACTTAAACTTCATATATTTCAAAATAATTAAGTGGATCTAATTGATTGTTCCAAGTAAAATTATCAAACCATATGTCAAGCTTTCGGGCTTGGGACCGGCAACGGCAGTGTTAAATAAGACTAGAAGGTTATGCCCTAATGATTCTTATTTATGTTGTCATCATGCTCATTCGCACTAGATTTAGATAAAAGGTTATGCCCTAATGATATGCTAGATCACTACCATAGTTCTCTTAAGTTCAAGACTAGAAGCCCTATACAATATTCTAAGACCTCCAACAATTCTTGAAGGATATAATCATCATGGTTTTTGAAATAATTAGCTCACAATTTAATAAGATGGTCTAATATATTAGTCTAAATATGATTATTATCTTAAAATTTAAATCCTAACATATGATTAACTCCTTCAAGTAATCCCGAGTCTATGAGATCGCTTGTCCTTAGCATATCATCCATTAAATTTTATGCTTTTCCAACATTGTTTATTCCTTATTTTGATGTTTTGAAAGTATCCTTTCTTGATATATTAACATTGATATTCTATATCACGACCATGACTTTAATCCCATTTTTTTCTTAAGACTTTAATCACTATAAAATAAATAATTACAGCGCCCATACTCCAAAACTAAATAAATCCGTGAAGAAGATCAAAATTAACTCAAAATTAATCTGTCAGCCAGAGATTAATCTAACTCTTGACATGCCAAAATAAAATTGACACAATTACATATTATGCATAAATAAAACAAGTTAAGGAGATCAAATTCGGTTCAATCAGGCTGAAGTCAGGTCGGGTTCAGGACTTTAATCACTATAAAATAAATAATTACAGCGCCTATACTTCAAAACTAAATAAATCCGTTAAGAAGATCAAATTCAGTTCAATCAGGTTGAAGTCAGGTCGGGTTCAAATTACTTTCCAAACCATTTCCCATTTGAGCCAGATTTGTGTCGAGCCAATTTCGGGTCAAGCACAAACTCAGACCCGATTTGACACTTCCAAACACATCTTGTACTTTCCAAACCATTTCCCATTTGAGCCAGATTTGGGTCAAGCACAAATTCGACCCGATTTGACACTTCCAAACACATCTTGGTCTAACTACTGCCAAAAACGACCGTGTTAATTTAGGTTCCTGAAATCCATACACATACTCCACCTATCATCTAAAATTCATCGACCATAACCATATTAAAGTCTTAATCACAATATCGAATTTCCTGACCGATCATTGATCCACCACTTCATCTCATCAAGAAATAAGCTTTCAATCTGTTACAAGGATTAGGCGTCATCGCAGAGCCTTACCCGTTGATTTATTAGCATGTAATGATACCCCTGGTGCAAATTGGGCCAACTGAGAATGCATTTTGTACGAGGAATTCGACAGACGAGAAGGATCATGGCTTGGGAGTCAACTTCTGCAAAGCGGCATTAATCTTCTCATCTGAGATTCCTTTGAAGGATTCAGCCATGCCTTTGAAGGCCTCAACCCTGTAGAAATCGTAGAAGTCCAAAATCTCTATTGCAATGTTCTTGACCTGTGGATAGTCAGCTTATTATTTTACCAGAAAGGAAGAAGACAAAGCAAGAATGCATACATATCATTCAATTGTTATGTATTACATATCTAACATCCAAACTTCAATTTATATATATATATATAGATTCACCTTACCTACGAGTTAAAATAATGGTAGTTTTTATGTGATATAAATGATGTGTGTGGTATAAATATATAAAAACAAAGTTTAGGTGTTAGATATATAAATAAATAAGAATTGGGAGGTATGTATGTCAATGCCCAGAAAGAAAAAGGTCTATCGAAATATCGTGCTATGATAAAATTTAGCATACATGCCTTAGATTCGATATTTCAATTGTTATTTCTAAATATATAACTATAAGATAATACAACTAAATTTAAAAGACAAATACAAATAAACCATTAAACTTTTAAAAGTGATAATTAAAAAAAAATTTAGATGAAATATCTTTTTAAAAAAAATTAATAGCTTCAACAAATAACATGTCATAGTTTTTCAACAAAAGTTTTTACGGTGGCCGTCGACTTCCTAACGCAGCCCTCCATTCATCGACTCTAGTACTAACAAAAAACAAAGATCGAATTAGATGGTTTGAACTTGCAAATTTTATTTGAACATTATTAAATTACTAAACTCGTTGACTACAGTCCTTACGAGAAGAAGGTTCAGACTAATTGAGTGGGACTTATAACACTGTCCTATAGATAAGGTTGTCTGTTTGAAAGCGTGTACAGTTTAATCATCTTAGATTTGACTTTAAAAATATGAGGATTCTTTAATTTTAAAGTAACCTTAGATTTTTAATAGAACCTCGCACGTTTATCAAAGCAAATGGGAGAACATTTAACCTTAACCTACATAGCGTTCTCATACCCTTAAAATTTAAACACTGCACAATTTGGCGGTGCACATGGAAGCTTTGCTTCATAAATTATGCGCATTTTAAAATATGAGACTTATAATCATCCAAGTCTCTTTTAATCATCCAAATATTCATCATCCATGTCTGCACAATATACTTGACATATCACTCTGGCGGAATTACGTGATATTTTATAAACTTTTACAGTGTAATATGACTGTTGCCTTACTTTTGGTCAAATCCTCATTCACTTTAAATCTCTAGGACATAAAACAGATCACATAAAATGAAAATCAAACATATTTAACTTCAATCAAATTCTAAAATAGGACTGAAACACAACCTAATGTAGGAATCTTCCAAAATGATCATTTTTGTGTCTCGAAATTATCATTTTCTCTACAGATTATTTTAGTGCTTGAAATTTTAGGTTATAAGCAACATTTGGTTCATTATTAATGTATGATAAATATGTAGTAAGTTTTGATGACTATCAAGTTATTTTTTAAGTGAAATTTTATGTGGAGAGTTCATGCATGAAAATAAAAACAAATTTGTCCCACATAAAAAGTTTTTCATCAGAGCATTCTTACGAAACGGACTTCACGAATGCGTTCGGATAGTTAAAACTTTTCAAATGAGCCTTTCCGTGCCCAACTCAGACTTCATTTTAGGGCACATCTAGCCATGCTAATTTGGACAATAGTTAAAATCAACTCCAATCTCAAAATATATTCAAATTGACCTGAAAAACATCAAAATTGGCCAATTTGAAACTCATTTGAATTTTCATAAAAAATCTCAATTTTCTCTCTTATTGCGGGGCCCACACTTTGACCTAAAGTTCCATGACAAGGGGCCTCATCATTGAGTTTCCCTAATTTTTCTAATCTAAATGAGCTAAAGAAACTCTCCAGAAGAAACTCTCAGCTCCCTCCAAAGTAGGCACAAGGGAGGTGGCAACACCTTAACGCCAACCAAAGTGACGCCTAGGCACCCCCTCTTCCTTCTCTAGGCATTCCAAACTTAGAAGGCAGCGCATAGGCGCCTCCAAAGTAGCATATTGGTGCCACCCCAAATGGCGCATAAGCAGTCCATTCTCCAATTCTCCTAGGTGTTCCAAACCGAGTGACCAACACTCCTGCGCCTCCCACAAGTTGCCTAGGTGCCTCCAAATTGACGCTTCGGTTCGACCTCCCGCTAGATTTCGAACCTCTACTCTCTTGCTCTCGGATGACTCTAGCTCTCTCCATTAAAAGGGAAGCCTCAGTCGAAAAGAGAGCATGTTCTCTCTTCCTCTTTGAAAAACCCAACGAACAAACAGACGGTCGAGAACTCAGAGCCTCTCCTCGCCCTCTCCATTTCCACTACAATTCTTATTCTTCATTCATCTTCTTCCTCCTCCATTTCATTTTCTCTAACCTTACTTCTTCCTCCTCTGTTTCATCATCTCTAACCACACCTCCTCTTAAGCTATATTGTCCAAACTTCTTCATCCACCCTCTTCCTCCACTTATCAACATACTCAATCTCTTTCTTCATCTTCTTCTTTTTCTTCTCCACTTCACAAAGTGCACTTTCCATTTATTCTCCGTAACACCCTTTATGTTTACTCATGTGCAAATGAAGTCCTTCATGTGATTTTCTTTATCTTTAAGCATGTGTAAGTTAAGTCCTTCATATAATTTTCTTTATGGTCAAGCATGTGCAAGTGAAGTCCTTTATGTGTTTTCCTTATGTCAAAGCATGTGAGAGTTGAGTAACCTAAATGCATTTTCTTTATGTCAAAGTATGAAGTAGACTTCATGGGATTCCTTCATGCTTATGCATGTGAATGTATGAAGTAGAATTCATGCATTCCCTTTATCTCTAAGCATGCCAAAATTGAAGTTGAATCCATGATTTTCTTTTTTTCTATGCATGTAAAAATGAAATGATCTCCATGTGATTCTCACTTTAAAATAAAGTAAAATTCATGTATTCAATGTCTAAGCATGTCGAAAATTGTAATAGAATCCATGATTTTCTTTATATCTATGTATGTGAAATTAAAATGACATTCATGTGATCTTCTTTATGCCTTTTTAAGCATGTTAAAATGAAGTAGAATTCACGTGTTCTCCTTATGTCTATGAATGTGAAATTAAAATGACCTTCATGTGATTTTCTGTCTTTTTAAGCATGTGAAAGTGAAGTAGAATTCATGTGTCCTCTTTATGTATATGCATGAAATAACCTTATGTGTTTTTCTTATGTCTAAGCATGTGAAAGTGAGGTGACCCCCATATACTTTCTTATGACTTCATTGATGTAACTAAAAAAAATAATAATAAAACAAAATAAAATCAAAATAAAAAATAAAGAGGGAGGGGAGGGAGAGAACCTCTCATGTATAGGTTCTCTTGATAGTATGCAAATATACTACATAGGATGTGTCATTTGTGACCTATGATGATTAGTATAGGATAATTTGCAAACTCACATTAACTTGGGCTTAACTTCAACAGAATTCAGAAACTCAATTTTAAAACACGTAATGTCATTTTAAACCCTAAATTTTAAAAATGCTCTAAAACATGTTTCATAAATCTTAATATCTTAACTTTGAAACACTTTAAAATGTTTTTTAAAGCAATTTAAATCATTTAAAATAAAATAGCTCAAAATATTAAAACACTTTAAATAAACAAGATAACTTAAAATATCAAAACATTTCAAAACATCTAAAATAACTTAAAATTTCAAATTAAACAAAAAAAAAAACACTTTAAACAATCTAAAATAAAATTACTTAAAATATCAAAGCACTTCAAACCATCTAAATTTAAAATAAATTAAAATGTCAACTAGTAAAACATTTTAAACTCCTAAAATAAGTTTAAAACTTTTAAACCTTAAACATTTAAAATACTTAAAACTACTAGAAGCTTAAAATTTCAAAAACACTTAACTTCTAATATGTAAATCTTATATCAAATCCTATGAGCTTGTAATTTTCACATAAACTTCAAATGTAAAACTTTACACTAACACTGAAAACCAAACTTATATATAAAATTGAGTGGAGGACATCAACGTAGATGAGAAAACCATATGCAAATCATCAGACCTAGAATAACCAGATTATCAGAGAGACTGACAAACATAAAAATTGAATAAGATTATAAATTAAATATCAAATCCCAAAATAAACCTAGACGTCACCAGCTTATATATGGAAACCAAAGCTAAGTAGATTAACCATGGAGCCTAGGATAGCCAACATAGAAACAAAACCTCAATTTAAAACAGCCTAACTTTGAATTTTAAAAGTTGAAATTCAAATTAATAGTAAGTCCTAAAAGCCTAAATTTAAAAGCTCAAATACAAATTATTTTTAAGCCCTAAGGGCCTAAATTTAAAAGCCCAAATTTTCAACCCCCAAGAGACTAAATTTAAATCATTTTCTATAAATTTCAAATATATAGGCAAGCTTAACATGTTCAAATTTCCGAGTCATTTTAAACAAGTTTAAATTGTTCAATATTTTAAGTTACTTGTAAATCCAATTCACCAAGAATTTCAACAACCTTTCGACGTAAACTCCCGTTAGGGGGCATTAGGGAGAATGTCAGCTTGCGCAACTGTTTATAAGGTACGCTAATCTGTGTCGTGAGACAACTGTCTGGGAGCAAAGCAAAGTAATTTAACACATGGTTTATAAGATACTATGCTTCAGTGTACTTGCAAAAAAATAATCACAAGCACAAATTTTCTAGAATATGTATTTTAATTTTCCATAACATTATTCCTTTAATAGATACTCAAGTTACCCTTTATAGATATTTTACGTTCCCTGTATGGTACTTAATTCCCTAATCAGATACTCCCAAATACACAATTTTCCTGAACGATACTTAATTCTCTCAGACATGTACATAAGTTTCCTCAGATGGGCATTTTAAAAAATTTCCCTCCATGCCATTTTTATACCATTGCACGCTGAGCGGCTAGCCGACGATGGAGAAGTGACGGAATTGGCAAAATGGTAACACATACTTTTGTTGATTTTATTTTTTAATACGAGGTATATATAATACATAACATAAGAAATAAAAAAATTAAAGGAGGAATTGGACATGACTAGAGCTAAGGGATCGAGCGGTTTCAGCATAGGGATCGAGCGGCTTCGGTGCAGGGATCGACCGGCTTTGGTTGGTTGGGTCAATCGGCACATGGTATTTCGGAGTCTTCGGTGGAGATCACGGTTGGGGGCATGCGAGACCTATGAAGGAGAAGATGAAGGCAACAACAGTAGGGTGTTGTGCGGGCCTTACAAACAGAGAACGAGCTTGCGACCATTTTAACGAACGAAGGGCGGAGCTTCGTGCACGAACGGGGAAGAGAGTGAAGGCTTCTGTGTGAAAATGAGAGAACCAAAGAGGGGGGACGAAGAAAACACGTGAATGAGGGCTTGGGTTCAAATTCATGAGATAATGGAGGTACAAGGTAGCGGGAATAGATGTGAAAGGCTGAAAGCTGGATCAGCTGTACGAGAAAAGCAGTTCAAAAATGTTCAAACTTTAATTTGACAATAATTAATTTTGATTAAACCTAATTAGCAAGATTAACAATAAATTTAACCATTTTAATTTTAACGTTAACAGATACAAATACGAAAGATTTAGGTGGCATAAATAAATAAATAAAAAGTACATGTGTTATTCATAGGAATCGAGTGATATGTGTGTAAATGCCTCAAAAATAATAGTAATAAATTGGAGAAAAAATCAGGGTGATACTCACAACATTCATGTCAACACGTAGCTCCTCAAACCATGCAGTAGTTTCTTTATCTTTAAGCACGCTCGCAATGTACATGCAGGCAAGTGCAATCATATATGGCGGATGGATGAGGATGAGGTCCATCTTGTAAGTATCGTTCACAAGGCCCCTGCATGCCGTGGAAAATACATAAGAATTGTGTGGTATGTATGTAAATTTCCCATTTTATTTATATGATTAAGATTTAGTAGGGGAATAAAATTATCCATTCAAATTTCTAGCAAGACTTTGAACGGGTGCATTACTGCTCTGCTCGGTTTGAATGACTTGCAAAGGAAATGCACTGATGTATTTGTTTGGTTAGAATCCAATGCAAAACATATTTTTTTACTGGGGCATTTACATACATGCCACACAATTCTTGTATATTTACATATCTAACACCAAAACTTTCATATTTACATACATAAACTCAAATCTTTCATATCACATCAAAAATACCACTATCACAATTTTTTTCAAAGTGAAATTCACTTTTTCAAGTATAAGTTTTTAATAACATGGGGTTATAAATGTAAATATTGAACGTTAGATGTTAGATATATAAATGCAAAAGAATAATGTGGTATGTGCATAAATTTGCCTTTTTTATTTCTTTTTTAAGAATGATAACTTGGAGTTCTATTTCAGGTAAGGACAAAATTTGAGTCAAAATGATGATATGAAAAGATCATAATACTTTTCGCTGGAGTGGGTAATTATAAAATAAGTAGACATTTCTTTTGTATAGAAAAACTCAATCCACTCCCTATTCTTTAAAACCAAACATGCAGTAAGCAGCTATATGGTTTTCTTTATTTTTATTAATGGTCAAATACCCTAAACCCTAAACTAGACTGATCTAGCTGGCGAGGGCAATGGTGACAGTGGTGATGCCAGTGTGGTAGGTGAAGAGTGAAGAAAAGCAATCAATGGATCAGGTGAAGAAAAAGGGGTAAAACACACTTAGCTTTTTCGCCAGCCAAAACCAAAGCCCCGATCATGGAAAAATTATTCCATACGGATGCGTGCGGTGTCCGATCCGGACCGTAAATCATCTGATCTACGGTCTCGATGTATTTCGGTGAGCCCCACCGAATTTTTTTTTTTATTTTTTTTAAAAACGGAAATAATCCTGACCGTAGATCACCGTGATCTACGGTCAGAATCGGACACCGCATGCAGAGATGCATGCGGTGTCCGCACGCAATAATCCCTCGTAAAGGAGAGCTATGCCATGTGGGGCGCAGGTGAACCCCTCTCTATCTCCAAGATTTGCACACACGGCCATTAGATTCAACTTTGAGGGATTGTCATTAGTAGGCGTTGGAGCTCGTGATCTGCCAAAATTGCTGGCTAGCTCATCTCCAATCTACATGTGATTAGATGAGCGCAGTTCGAAGTAGATATGCAGATTGCAGAATAAAACAGATGTATTTAAATTATTAAAAGACTTCAAACTTATTTTCTCATATTTTTATAACAGATTAATTTATTTTAAAACTAAATAAACGGCTATATTTAATCATTTTCAACAATTTTCAGACAAAAATAAAAACTGCCTCGATTTCATTGAAATTGAAATAAACAGCCATATTTAGTGGAATTGAACTTCAGCTCCAACATTCCCACGTCCAAATAAAATAACTTACCTCAAAACAGGAGCTGAGAAATTAAACCAAATGTCCAGTTTTTTAGGAGAAGATTCTTAAATGTGTATACAGCAATTTCTGCTGCTTTTACTCCGGAGAAAAATAATCAAAAATTTCTACTATACAATTATTTTTGAAATCAAATGCATTGAAGTAATTCTAAATGTCTTTATACCTGAGGTCAAATTTCATTCAACTCGAGTACCCACCATCAGAAAAAATAGATAATTACTTACCTCACCATTTAAACCATTCATTATAATAACCATTTTGAATGATAAAGTCTAAGGCAAATCATTTGACTTGCCACTAGAATTTAAGTTCTTAAAAAATAAGATAAAATAAACGATGTAGATAAATGCTGATCCATATATAAAAGAAAGCATATAGGTGATAACTTACCAAGCGATATTAGTGAGATCTGTCATACCAGCATCCTGTAAAAACCTGAACAAAGAAACTAGAATTTAATGGCCTCGCTGAAAAAAAGTTTCCATGAATATGTGAATTTAGTGTCACAGCCAAATGAAATGACTCTAATAGCTTTCTAATGAACATATATTTTTATATATATGTATATATATATCTGAAGCTATTATACGAGCCTCGAGCATCCCCAATGCGCCAAAAAATTCGAGTACCAGACCCTTCACACAGGGGGAATCGAATGCCAGACCAAAGGGACTTACCACTATCAAGCAGATATATATATATATATATATATGCATTTTACACAAATCATTTACTACTATACATTGTGTTAAGCAAAACAAGCTCTCCGCGGCATCCATTATCATTATTTTTACTAAAGCGTGTGAGGATTTGGACTTAACCCCACAACAAATAGATGCACATGTTCATACAAAAATACTGTGGCTAACCATTACTACTAGTCTAAAGCATTTAAATTAAAGCCAAATCTAGCCCAACTTTGATCCCATTTTGGTCTACACTCCCAATACAAGATATAAGAGATGATGGTTCGACTTGGATCATGTAGTTATGCAATTAGCGGATCCATGAATCTTTAGTGGGTTCTCCATGATTCTTTAGTGGGTTCTGCCATAATTGAGCAAGCTCCTAGAATGAGTGACTCTCACAGTACTACTACCTGCTTAAGACTGGCCTTGGTGCATGATAATTTATGAATTTTCATTTAAAGGGGAGTGATGTCAAATGCAAAGTGCTCTTTTGTGAGGGAGAGATTGTGAAGACATGTACAACTTTGCCACTTTGGATGTTTAGTGACATAGAATAGTTAAAAAGTATTTTAATGTTGAAATATCAACTAATTAGCAGTCAATAATAGGCTTAAGAATTTGGGTTAAAATGAAATTTGCCCATTGCAGTATCGAGTCCAACTTCAATCCCCTTTTTTTGGTTCATACTACCCAACAACTTTATAAAGAAAAATTAAATGACATGCTTCAACATATTCTTATTTGTGCAATTAATTCACCTTGAAGATCTTCACATCAATTTAATGATCTTAATACTTATCATCAGCTATTTGTTTTCCTACAATCTTCTTTGCTTATATGTATTCCTAAACGTTATAGAACCCAATATTCTTATTTGCCGCGTGAAACCACAACTTCCACTAGATAAAGTGCTCCGGTAAGACATATTATTAATGATTGCCAGGTAGTGATTCCCATGAATATGGACTAATTCAATTGCTTGGATTTAAACTTCAAAGAGCTTTCTACAGACAGAAAAAGCATTAGAAAGATGTATTACACCTCATCTCTAATTCAAAATTAGAGATATTCAAAATCACTGATCTACAACTGAAAATTTTGCACTTTAATGAGATTGCAATTACTAAAATGAATGAAAAATGTAAAAATTAAGCATACTATAATAGTACAAAAACAAATACAGTTTAAGAGAAATTTGATTAAAAGGAGTAAACAAATAAAAAAAAATCCAGTTCGATAAATCAAAATTCATTCACCACACGGTATACATGAAAAAGCCTTCTTCTGTAAGTTCCCTACTTAACTCTTTCCATAGTATAAAACCCACGATAACAACTAAAAGCTATTCATGGCAACATATGCAACTAGCCAAAGCATAACCCTGATGTCTCTCATCTCTATTTTTACATCTTAGAAAAGACTGATGAACTTCAACAAAAGCTGTTAAAAATAGAACATCGTCATTCAAAATCCTTCAACGGTTTGAGCATAAAGCTAAATCCTTGTCCTGTATATTATTCTTTAAATAAACAAAAATCTGTAGCTCAAGAATGAATACTGAATAGAGGATAGCAACAAAATGGGATGGATATTTTAAACTATAGATTAACAATTTACACAGCAAAAAAACTATTTAGGTATCCATCGGAAACATGATGAAGCCAAACGGCTTAAACAAACTTCATCTACTTGTGGGAGATGACAATCATGGTGCAGAAAAAAGAATAGTTAATAAAGTAATATGAGGAATTGTTTAAAAATTGGTGAAAATAATGTTAATTTCGATGTGTACAAAAATATCGAAGGACATAGGAAGACAGACATTTTAGATTAAATGTGACAGTAAAACCAATCAAATTAAGATAATAACTTGCAAAGTAGCAATGGCCAGTGATTACTGGCGGAAAACATGGAGTTGAGAATGTTAATATGAATGGTTATTGCTAGATGATTAAAGTGTATATATGAATTTGCAAAGGCCTGAAAGCGTGCCAAATTGTTTAGGTATGACCTCAAGTGAAATGAAATCTTATTTGATTAAGGCCCTAAAAGCTTAATATCAAAACAGCATGATTTGTATTTGTTTAAATTTATTTTAAAATTTTCATTTTAATTATACATTGCTTTTATCAGACTTAAAATGTAATAAATCAAAGCCTCCAGCTTAGGCTGATTGCATTATAAATTAAACATTGACCTCTTTCAGTGTCATCATATCCCCCTACGAGTTATGATCTCCATTGAAGTGAAATCTAATTTAATGGACTTAAATAAAACACACTGATGTGGCATGATGGGTATTTATTAAAGTTTATTTGCAATTTTCGATTTTATTTACATTTTTCAAATTTTCTTGGACAAAAAATGTGGTAAAGCAAAGGTTTCCTCCCATTCTCTATTAGACTAAAATCTAATAAATCAAAAATCTCTCTCCCGCGCTCACTCTCTCTCTCTCTCTCTCTCTCTCTCTCTCTCTCTCTCTCTCTCTCTCTCTCTCTCTCTCTCTCTCTCTCTCTCTCTCTCTCTCTCTCTCTCACACACACACACACACACACACATCAATGACAACTAGTGAATAATATGGTGACGAGATTTTAACATGAATAGTTACCGCAGGATAAAATGGAGACGTGAATGCTAGCATGAATGGACATAGGCCTGGCAAGCATGCAAAGTTGCAAAGTTATGAACTCACTTATTTAAGTTTTTATGTAATTTTCAATTTTAACTAAATTAATGATTTTATTAGACTTAAATGAGATAAATCAATGACACCATATGAATAAGGAGACTAGCCTAGAGCTTGGGTTGATTACAGGATGAATTGAACAATAAGTTCCCTAATGCCCCTCCCTCCCTCTCCCCCTCCCTCCGTCGCCATTCTCTAATCTATTTTCTACTCTACTTCCAGACCTCAACATTTGGGTGTCAGGCTTGTCAGTCCTATCACCTACTTTCCTATAAGCAATTTCCATCCACCATTATTGCTTTATATATGGTTCAAATTAACCCTTGCGCACGCCACTCAAAACTTCTTCATCCAACCATCCCACTTATCAACAGTGTTTAAAATTATGCAATTAGAGGCATGCCTTAGTGCAATTTAAAAGAAAAAAAAAAAAACTACAGGCAATGTGAGAATCCCCACTTGTCATCAATATTTAAAATTGTGCAATTGGAGGCATGCCTTAGTAAAAGTTAAAAGAAAAAACTATGAGTCAATGCCTCACATTGCCCAGATGAGGCATAAATCTCAAGGGACTAAGGCCGATCAAGGCATGTCTCAGCCAAAATTATGAGAGGCACAAATATTTAATTTTAAGCTTTGGATAACTTTGAAGTTTGTAATTAAAAAATCTAATATATAAGTCAAAACTTAAATTTTTTTTAATTCTATAGATCTAAGCCTAAACTTTACCAGATAAAGAATTACAAACACATGTCCTCAACTTCCAACCGCATGCCACACTGCAGCCCCAATAGCTGAACCCTGTTGAAGCCACCGCCGTCGCTATGTTTGTCACCTATGCTTGTTGTCAGTAACCCATGTCCTTATTGTTATTTTTTTTTTGTCATTTGAAGCTTTATTTTAATTTATTTGATATTGTTTTTGTCACTAGTATTTCTCCTTGTAAAATGAGATTTTATCTAATTTGAATGATGTTTTTCAATTTATGGTTATTCTAAAGTTTCTAGTTATTGAATGTAATATATTAGAAAATTTGATTATAAGAAACCTAATTAGAGATCTAATTACAAGGTTTTTCTTCTATTAGAGATGTTCCTAATCTATAGAAATTGGAAGTGTGTGTGTGTATATATATATATATATATATATATATATATATATATAT